ATAAGGAGTAATGATCTTTTGTCCCGACCAACATTCTAGATCACTGGTGGGCAAACTCTGTAAAGCACCAGATGGTAACTATTTTGGGCTTTGCAGATAAAAGGTGTCTGGCTCAACCACTCAACTTTGCAGTGTAGCAAACGCTGGCATATACAACATGGAAAAGAACGACTGTGCCTGTGTTCCAATAAAACTTTATTTGGAAAAAAAAAAGCAGTGAGCAGGATTTGGCCCAATCTCTGTTTTAGATAGTACTTTTTTTGTCTCTTACTAAATGAAGTTAGTCTTCAAATAGATGGAAAGTGTATTTAGTGTTAGCAGTTCTATATTGTTATAGGGAATCTTTTAAAAATCTATAGGCTATAAATGCTTTTCTCAAGCGCTGGCAGTGAGCCCAGCCAGTCTTAAATGAATGCAGCCTCAACATTTTTTAAAAATGTAAAATTATATCAATACATTGTAAAAACAGAACCAATTTCCTGTCTTCAAAAGATAAATATTTGAAACTGTTGTTTAAGCAGAAATAAGTTTTGAAACAAAAATATGCATAAAACAAAAAAGATTTATATTAAAAATGGACTGCTGAGACAACAGAAATGAGACGTCAGATCTAGGTTATATAGATTATATCCACTAATTTATTACTTTATTCTATCTTATTTTTTAGTTCTTTATATAGAAAAAGTAAAAATAGCAAAACAACACACAACCTGGACAACACTGAGCCATATAAACAGACTTGGTACATAGCCACTTTAACATAAAGACCAACTCAGTTCTATAAAAGCAGAAAGTTTACCAATCCTTAAAAAAGTTACCAGTTGCAATTATTTTAATGGTCAAGATCATTTCCAACTTCATCTTCTCTTCTTTTGATAGCAGGCTTTTTTTGTTGTTGTTTTGGGTTTTTTTTCTTTTTTTTAGCTGAGCCATCCTGCCACCTGTTGGCAGCTCAGCTCGGGTCGGGAATCGAATTGGTAACCCTGTTGCTCAGAGCTCACTTGGCAGCCAAAGATAAAGTCAGTTGCTCTTTTTCTTCTAAGAGTTATTGGAAAATGTGTCTAGCACTCGGAGTTTAGATGGTTACGTCTTTTCTGATGTTTGTGTTGTCTACCACTAGTTTTTCTTATATCGCGTCCCATGAATCAACCCATTCATCAAGCAATTGGTCAGTCTTCTTTCACAGTATCTAAGACCTTCTGGCTTGGGATACTTTGCTCAGAAACTGTCTCATATAAGGAAGTAATCGGTCCTAACACCACTGGACAGAGAGGTTGTGAAAAGATGTTTGATGGTGGCCTCCTTGGTTGGAAGCTCTATTTAATAACTTTCTATTTTTTTCTTAACTGATATCTTACTTGTAAAATTCCTCATTAGAATTTTATGTAAAATAATTGCACTCAGGGCCGGCTGAGTGGCTCAGTTGGTTAAGAGCTCGCTCAAGAGTTTGAGCTCTGAGGAACAGCGGTTCGAGTCAGCCCGAGCTGAGCAGCCGTGAGCTGCCAACAGGTGGCGGGATGGCTCAGCTAAAAAAAAAATAAATAAATAAAATAAAATAAAATAATTGCACTCAGAAAAACAGTTAACTAAATTTAAATTATGAAGGATTATTAACTTATCCATGTGAGGGGATCAAACCTCAATTCATTTCATTCATCCTAAAAAAACTTTTAACCATTTTGACCTTAGCTTCTAAAATTTGCAGTTATCTAACTTAGGTCAATTTTAAATGCTAGAAGGTACAGAAAATAGTTAAATTATATTTGTTTCTGAAGACAAAATAAGCAATAAAGGAACAAAAAGACTTTTTCTTGGAATTGGCTGAGGCTGTTCCTATTCTAAATTTGTCACTAGGGTGTGTCAATCTGATTTATGTAAATCAAAACAAAAATTTAGTTTGAGACTATTTCCTGTCTACCCCCAGGTTGATTAAGCCAAACTAAAAGTGACTTGCATTAATTTTAATCCTAAAGCTAATAAACATTTCATTAACAACCAGGAATACTGACTGATTCTAGGTATTTTTAATTAATTAATTTTTTGAGAAAAAGTCATTTATATTTCAAGAAAGGCTGAAAAATGATCATGTCTGAAATCAGAGTTGCTTTTAACTTTTTACATCCATTGTATAATATCCAGGGTCATTTTTCATGCAGGTTTTACGGCTGGAAATCTTGCCAGATATGAGAATAGCTACCGTGCGTCACTGAATCCATAGATGCTGTCACAGTGAATCTTAGCATGATTCATTCAAATAATGAAGTAAATGAAGTTAAAGATGTTCACCTTTGATTACCCTAAAATATCTCCCACCCTATTCTGACCACAGTGCCAGAAAACAGTTCCTTTATTTTTTTATTATAGTGTTTTTGCCCGTGATTTTATTTTATTTTTTAATTAATTTTTATTTTTCAATTACAGTTGACATTCAATACTATTTTATATTAGTTTCAGGTGTACTGCCTAGTGGTTAGACATTTATATAAGTTACAAAGTGATCCCCCTGATAAGTCTAGTACCTACCTGGCATCATACATAGTTATTATGCTTCTACATATTTTTAGACCATAAAGTAACGAACCTGTTTTTCTAATAATTGTTATATATTATTGCAGATCTTTAAATAAAGATCTTTTGCAGATTTATTAAATTTCAGAGTCAAGAAATACCTAAAATATAGTTTCACTCAATACCATAATATTATATGGGCTGCTGGAAATACATGTGATTTTTTTGTTTCAAATAAGATTGTCCTTGTCAATTTCCCTGAATCATGCCCAATCATGTGTGTTGATGGTGGTTTATGTTATTTCAGATCTGTGTGGGTGTTATTGAGAAATCAACATGTGATTTCCCCCCTCCCTCTAAGCAGTACAGGAATGCCAGCCATGATCACACAAAGCCACATGAGGCTAAAACAGCATTTTCCTCTACTGTGTTTTTAGTATGTTGGGTACCCCAAGGAAACAAATGCTATCTACAGATGCTCTCTGCTACCTGCCCAAACATGTTTGTTATCAGCATTGGCATGGAAGGACCTGCTGTTTGATTCCCAACTAGAGGTGTGGGAACTAGGAGCTAGTCATTTCAGGGGTCGGCAAACTTTTGAGACAGAAGAGCCACCAGGGGTCAGCAAACTGTAGCTCGCGAGCAACATGCAGCTCTTTGGGTACGCATATGTGGTTCTGAAGTAAAATTGAAAATGAAAATAAGACTATCATAGTTTCATTTATAAAATTTTAAAAGGATATTATTCACATAATGGAGATCATGTAAAATATATTTATGGCTCTTGAATAATTTTTAAATTGCTGTGAGGGACAGGATTGGCTCTTCCACAGGTTGGCAAACTTTTAAGACAGAACGTACCCAAAGAGTTGCATGTGACTCGTGAGCTGCAGTTTGTGGATCCCTGCTCTATACAATGGAGTTGGACTAGAGACTATCTCTAACATCTCTTCTACTTCTCAAATCCTTGATTTAACGGTTCTGTTCCACATCTATCCTGGTTTAGGGGTATTAACCAGTTTACATGGTCAGCCAAGACTCAATCCAGATGTAGCAGGGCTCCTTCACATCTGTCACAGCAACAATACCTTCGTTTATCTTATTACACTGGATCAAAATAACAGGAAGTTATTTGTTGTTGGTTTGTTTCTAATAAGAAAACCATAGCATCTGATGCATGTTTTCTAAAGACTGGGATATTCTAAAATGTTTATAGTTTTTACATACCTGAATGAAACAAGTAATTTAAACACTGTTAATGTCCAAAACCATCATGTTTGGAAAAGGCAGGAAATGTCAGAAACTGTTCAAATTGCTTATAAATTGTATCCCAAAGCTAGAAGTTTACTGGATGGGGAGGAGCACAATAACAAGAGCTGAGACAAGAAAGCCTTCACGGAGGTTCTGAGCCTCGGCTAGGTGCTCCACCGAGCACTCTCAGAGCATCCTGTCCTTGCTCCTACGGTCACACCCAAACTGTGGCTTAATTGCTAGTCTTCTTGATTACACACTGCAAGTTCCTTGAGGGCAGGGATTGTGCTTGTTCATCGATGTCTGCCTAGTGACTGACACATAATAAGGACTCAAAAAATAATTGTTGGATAACTATTGAATAAATAATCCGTTATCCTCACTTACTGATCTGCCAGGAAAAACAGAAGCAAGCAAGAAGAATACCACATGACAGCAATAAGGGCACCAGTACCAAGAGCCTAGGCTTTGGTGGTTGCCAGGTGGACATAGGTTCCCATCAGAGTGTGATTGATGGGATCCCCAGAAATATTCATTCAACATCCCTGTAGTAAGTCACACTATACTCACCCACTATGAGTAGCACCAAAGGATACATGACATTTTGATAGGACCATTTTGACTATTTATCTCACTCTTACATATACCTCTGCAAAATTTGCAGTGTATTCGCAAGCAGCTAAGCACAAAGAATGAACACTCAAGAGAGGAAAAGTTAGTTGGTGTTGGCTATATTTTAATACGAAATTCCTCTGGCTATATTTTATATTTAGGAAGTAGGTGGAGTATCTATTGTGCAATTGCTCAGCATACTGTTTGGTAAAGGATTAACAGAACCTTTTCCTTTTCTGTGTGAGAATTTGACCTGTGGTTAACTTTCTAGCTCTGTTCCCCTGACAACCTGCTGAGGGGTAGTATGTCAACTATGTTGCTAGGCAACATTGCATATGGTAGAAATGACCCTTAATTGGTAATCTGCATCGAGACTGGGAGAACTATAAATACCTGATAGGAAGCCACAGCTCTGGGCTTTCCTAAGTACAGTGACTCTTGGAACAGACATGTCACTTGCAGGACTCTGGAAGCCAAGTCTGTGGAGTTGCTCCCATGAGACAAGAGGCTTTTGTTTGTTTGTTTGGTTGGTTGGTTTTGTTTTTTGTTTTTTTTTTTTATTTTAGCTGAGCCATCCTGCCACCTGTTGGCAGCTCAGCAGCAGCTCAGCTTGGGCCAGGAATCAAACCGGCGACCCTGTTGCTCAGAGCTTGCACTCTTAAGCTCTTAACCAACTGAGCCACTTGGCTGGCCCGACAAGAGGCTTTTAAGACAGGATAGCTCTCACACTTGCCTGATGTGGGTCTGTCTCCTTGTCCAAGAATCCAATGATGGATATAAAAATTGGTCTCCAAGACCACAGTTGTCAATGAAGAATTGGCAGTAGTAAAATTATCTACCTGGAGGGTCAGAACAGATGCTAAATGTCCTCCTTAAGTTATAAAGGTTCCATATCATTTGATGTGAGTTAGTGTCACCTTTTCAAACTAGGACATGTTAGAAACCAACCAAACTATTCCTGCCAAACAAAAACTTGTTTATATATACAGAAGTATTAGTGGATGAAAATAATTCAGATTTTCAGCACTATAATGAAAGATTTGAGGAACACAGTAATAATTGATCTTCTGGAAGTACTAAACAAAAATCAATGAAAACATTGCTCATCATAAGCAACTGAATAAAGTGCTCCCTTTTTTGGGGTTAGAAAATAGTGTGACCACGTGAAAGCACAGGGCAAGCTATGAGAGACCATTGACAACAGGAAGGACAGCAGTAATGCTCAAAGCAGAGTGTAATAGGAATTTCTCACCCACCCAACACTTTGTCCCTCCCTATCCCTTTACACTAGACCTCACAGAGATAATTCTATTGTCAATGCACAAGGGGCACACAAGAAAAACCTAGAAGTCCAAATGAAACAGTCTGAATTCAGTTGACCAAAGGCTACCTCATCCTTCCCCACTGCCTCAGAATCGGTACATGTAGCCCTGCTTATTGCCTTTCTTTCTGTGGGGTTTATCACATCAATCAACAACAACAACAATGACCAAAAACCATCACAGTATTCCGAACCACCAAAATACTCAATTCTACAACATTCTGCAGACCACTTTCTTCAGGAATCGTTGGTTGGTCACTTTCTTCAGGAATATTGAAAGTCTAATGGCCACCAAAATATTTACATCAGAAAGGCATCTTTCCGCCAGAGGGCCAGAAGTCACAATGCTCTATGCCATTTCTTAATTTATTACAATTACAGGCCTTATTTACATTCCTCCCTCACCCTTGCTGTGAAAGCCTGTCCCTTTCCCCAAAGAGAAACAACTTCCCAAGGGTGCCATTTTAAAGTTCCATTCAAAGTAAGAATCTTGTTCCCATTCATGCAATATATCTAAGATAAAAGTATCTCTTTGTGAACTTGGACTGAATGTGCCAGAAAGATGTTAGACTATAATCTAAATCACTAACGGTCTGTGTTGGACCCAACTTTAAATTTACTTATTATAAAAATATCACCAACTCCACAAATTAAGCCTCAAAGACACCGTGCAAATTATAAATACTGGCCACCAAATGTGAACATAAATTTAAAACAGGGCAGTTATGACCTGATAGTCCAGACAAAGATCTCCTTTAAAAGTGATAGAATTCAACGATCTAGTTATTGCAAATGCCAACACACAAACTCCAAACAGCCAACCAGGAATGCAACCATCTGAGACATTATGCAAAAAAGAGAATCATTTAAATAAATATTAAGCTTCCTGTTCCATTTACCTCCCAATGATTCTCCTACTTCAAAATTTAATAAAATGATCAAAGCCTAGTAGTGGTTCTAAGGGTATGAATCAGAGTCAGAATTTCTAAGTTTCCATATCACAAACCTAATCACATTTTGGGCAAGTTGTGAATAATTTGGCTTCTGCTCCCCATCTTACTAATCTACTATTGTATAAAACTTGTGAGAGCATAAGAGCCTATTAAATATTAAGAAGATAAAAGGTAACCTAAATAACTGAAATTCAGTTCACTCATTAAAGGTCAATTTTAAGATCTTACTTTTTAGCAGGGTTGCTCAACCTTGAACTCTTAACATTATGGAGTAGATAATTCTTTGTTTGTAAGAGGCCATCCTATGAATCATAGGATGTTTAGCAGCATCCCTTGCCTCTACCCACCAGATGCTAGCAGCACCCTGCCCCAAGCTCTAGCAATTGAGAATGTCCCCAGACATTGCCAAATCTCTCCTGGGGAGCAAAATCACCCCCAATTGAGAATCACTGTCTTACAATGAAGTCTCTAGTGTAAAACTTTTTTATATTGCACTCAGTGTTATGAATACGTCATGGGGTCCCTGAAGAGGATCCTTGCTCTACTAGAGAAAGTAGGCAGAGAAGTTAAACTTTGAGGTAGAAAAATTATATTAAAACATCAAAAATACTTTCAACAGAGGAAACAAAAATATCAAACATAAGTCTTTGCTAAGTATATCTTCTACACGTCCATTTAGGATTCCCTTTTGCTAAGATCCCTCTGTTAAAACAACAGCTAATATTTCATTTCAGGTTAAGAAAAGTGTTTCTGGTCTTTGATAATTTTCAATTTGTAACTCTTGATCTAGAACAGTAATTTTCAAACTGCCTGTGGTAAAAGACCACTTTTTACATTTCCAATCTACAGCAGACCAATATGTGGTCCTACTGTGTGGATTGGTATCAAACAATTCATAGACCAGCCCCTGTCTGTGGGCCACAGTTTGAGTAGTACTAGCTAGAGTTCAACTTTATTGAGAAGTACAGTTTAAACACGTTTGAACTCTTCAATGACTAACATTTACAAGACAATTTATGATGCTTTTGATGATCTTTTTTGTTCAAGAGGCAGAAAGAAAAGTGATTTGACTACCTTTTGAAACATAACTATACTAAAATTAAAGGAAGAAAAAGGGATTTCTTTTAAAATCCATTTTGGATACCTTAACATAGGACAAAATTATGCAAGTATCTTAAATGTTATTAATCCCTAATATTTCCTGCTTGTTAGCCCTTTAAAGAAGTATAGCTTTTTGTTAGAAATAATTGTGTGCCTGCAAAGTGGATGAAAGCAGACTGGTTTTAAAAACCTGTTCTTCTACTAACCTCTTCCCTTCTAGAGGATCTTTCAAAAGCTAAACAATTTAGAAATATAACTTGTTTATATAGGCTTACTCTTTCCCTCCAATTAAAGTTGTATTCATAAACTAAGTAAAAGAATGTCAGTGGTAGCTCCATTTCCAGGTTACACAGCTGTGGTCTTTGGACATGGCTTGAAAAAGCAGGGGAGCCTTTTAAATTTTTCCCAAATGACTTGTTTGATGATCACAAAACAGGTTATTTGTGTATATAGAATCGTGAAACACCAAACCGATCTGGGAAAACCACCCAGACCTGGGCTCCTGGGCTCCCTTTCCAGGGCTAACTTAAAGTTTAATTCAACTGGGCAAGTCAGAGCACCATAAAGAAGTTTTTAGCTTATTTCCATGCTTGTCTAACATAAATACCCACAGCTTTTAAAATTGCAGCCTTAGAGTCAGAAAGTACCTTTTACAATCATGTAGCCAGACAGCCCTGCCTGCCTTCTATCAATAAAGCTTTCTCTTAAATACTTCAGCAGAAAATTCAAAAATGGAATTCATGAGGAGAGGCTTGGCAGAGGTAAGATTGATCTCAACTTAATACATTCTTGCCTACCTTTTCAGAGACAGGGAGATGACAACAAAGGAATGCAGAAAATTGAGACAATATGAAAACAAGCATGGGGGTTTTCTTATTTTTCTCCTAACCAGAGTTTGGATGCACAATAGGAAAAACAGGAAGCCTGAGGGCCAGACTTGATGCCCTCAGAATTAAGGATGGTCAGCGAAGCCCTCAGAAACCAAAGGCACCACACTGAAAAAGTCATAGTCCTTCGAATCACAACATTCAACCTCTGCCATGCAGTCCAACAAAAATGTAAATAAATACATTAACAGTGAAAAAAATGTTCCTCTCAGAGTTCCACAAAAATTGGACAAAAGGTGGCTTTCAACCACAGAATGAGCAATAACAAATTCTAAACCCTCTTCCCCACTAATTTACTGCTACGTGAGTGTCCCTTGATCTGTTCGGTTGGAACGAATTTGTGGTCTGTCGTCAGAATCATCTCCAGCGGGGTCGTTTTCCTCACCAGACTCCACATAGATTGGCCAGTCATTGTCTGTGTCACTCTTCTCTTGGCTTTCGGACGAAGCCTCCACCAGGCTAAGGTTGATGGGCATCAAATCATCCTCGTCATCATGTGTGTCTGTAACACAGGTGCAGCTGTCACACAGCCCAAAGCGCCGCAGCCCCTGTGACAGGTGACTCGTGAAGGTTCTCCTGCAGCCCTTACAGATGATTGGGCGGTTGGATCTGTGGACCTAAAGCAGACACAGTAAATGGTACAGCAATGGGGTTGAGCCATGGCCCATATGATGTGGCCTATGGCTAACCCTCCAACCTCATTTCTCATCATTCTTCCTCCTGTTCCATCTGCCACAGTCTTGACCTCACCAAGGTCCTTCCGACCCAGGGCCATTGGACATAGGTGGAACGTGCCCTCCTCCCCAGTGCCAAACCCTCCCTTTTGCCTTTCAAGGAAGTCTTCTCTGATGCTCCAGGGCAGGTTAGGTCCCCTACCTATATATTCTCACTTATACTTCTTCCTTTTTTGTACAGTAGTCCTCCCTTATTCACAGGGGATATGTTCCAAGACCCCCAGGGGATGCCTGAAACCATGGATAGTGCCAAACCCTATATGTACTATGTTTTTTCCTGTACATACCTACCTTTTCACTTAAAGGAAGCACTTTATGGTTCTCTTTGGCATATCTAAGTCTCCAGCATTACTACTCTTGCATTCTGGGGCCATTAAGTAACATAAGGGTTACATGAACACAAGCACTGTGATACCACAACAGTCAATCTGATAACCAAGGTGGCTACTAAGTGAGTAATCAGCTGGGGGCATATACAGCGTGGATACACTGGACAAAGGGAGGATTCACATCCTGAGTGAGGTGGAGCAGGACGGCGCAAAATTTTACCCTGCTACTCAGAATGGCACGCAATTTAAAACTTACAAATTGTTTATTTATGGAATTTTCCAGTTAATATTTTTGGGCCACAGCTGACCATGGGTAACTGAAACCACAGAAAGTGAAACTGCAGGTAGGGGAATCTACTGTATTTCTAACAAATTATTGGTAAAATTCACTAAATTGTAAGTTCCAAGAAAGCAGGCTCTGTCCTCACTCACGTCCTCTGTCGTCTGTCACATTTATTACCATATTCCTAGTACCTGGCATAGAAAGGGCACTTAGTGAACTGGTTAGGATTTTAGACACAGCTTCTCATGTGCCTTGGATTGTTCAGTTATTAAGAAGGCAGATTTGCTAGGTAGGGTTCCCCAAACATGCCAGCAGATGCTTTGCCCTTGACTTTTTCATTGACAAATACATTCCTTACTTAATGAGAAGAGCTTTCTATTCCAGAAAAGAGAACCTGGTCTTCTACCTCATGCAGCAACACCTGAGGGCAGCGGCCCCAGGAGTCCCCCCTGTATAAGGAACTACCTTTCAAATGTATGCACTCTCCAGGAACTCCATCCAAAAGGGGCCTGTGAATCAATCAGAACGTCTCTTTTAGAGAGCTCTGGAGGCAGGATATACACAGGAAGCAGAGACAGAGGGAGGCTAATGCAGAAGAGCCAACATGATACCCAGGTTGCTGGAGCTGCATTACATCCTGACCAATGTCCCTGCTTCCCATGAGTTTTCCTGGGCTTCCCACACTAACCCTCCAACACCTGAGCCAACCTGAGTGTGTATCTGACCCTTACAACCTGAAGGGGCCTTTGAATACCACCTCTTTGGGTTGCAATGGACTGGACCATGTATAATGTGGGAAAATAGAGAAAATGAGGATTCCAACCAATGAAACATCTTAGAGACACCCAGGGACTTACTGCTGCCAAGATAGACTACAGACATAAATTGAAATTAAAAAAAAAAAAAAAGAGAGAGACAAAAACAAGGCCTTGGGATCAGGCCATTCTCAGATCAGTGTGCTGGGGCCAGCACTGAGAGTAAAGGCAGTCAGTAATCTTGACTGATCTTAAATCTGGATTTCTTCAAAACCGTAATTCACATACCATAAAACCCTTTTAAAGTGTACAATTCAGTGGCTTTTAGTATATTCACAAGATCACCATCATCTAATTCCTGAACATTTTTATCACCCCATAAAGAAACCCTGTGCCCATTAACAGTTATCCCTCTTCCATTCCCACATCCCCATATCCCCTGGTAACCCTCAATCTATTCTCTATCTCCATGGTCCTGCCCATTTTGTACATTACATATAAATGAAATCATACAATACGTGGTCCTTTGCGACTGGTTTCTTTCACTTAGCATAATGTTTTCAGGGTTCATTCATGTCATAGTGCATATCAGAACTTCATTCCATTTTATGGCTCAGTAACATTCCATGGTAAGGATACACCTTTTGTTTGTTTATTCACCAGTTGATGGACATTTGGGCTATTTCCACTTTTTTACTATTATGAATAATGTTGCTATGAACATTTGTGTGAGGGTTTTTGTGAAAATGTGTTTTCAGTTCTCATGGGTATATACCTAGAAGCAGAATTATTGGGTCTTATAGTAACTTTATGCTTAACTTTTTCAACAACTGCCGAACTATTTTCCATAGTGGATGCACCATTTTACATTCCCACCAGCAGTGTAGGAGGGTTCCAATTTCTCCACATCCTTGCCAGCACTTCTCTATCATCAGTTTTTTTATGATAGCCATCTTAGTGGGTGTGAAGTGGCATGTCATTGTGGCTTTGATTTGTACTTCCTTAATGACCAATGATGTTGAGCATCTTTTCATGTGCGTACTGTCCACTATATCTTCTTTGGAGAAATGTCTATTCGGATCCACTGTTGGAGTTGTCTTTTTAGTGTTGACTCGTAAGAGTTCTTTATATATTCTGGATAGTAGACCTTTATTAGATAAATGATTTACAGATATTTTCTCCATTCTCTGGATTGTCTTTTCACATTCTTGATAGCAACCTTTGAAGTCCAAAAGATTTTTATGTTGGATTTTCCAAAGACTGATTGCCTTGCTCAAAGATGATCTTAAATGCAATGCCCTTCTAAATGACTTGAGTGTTTTTAGCTGGTGGGAATCACCCGCTCACATGGGAGGCAGAATCCTAGAGAGCAGACAGTGGAAGGGGAGGTCCCCTTGATCTGGGGCCCTCTTTGCTGCATACAGATAGCCCTATAAATGGCAGTACAGGCATACTTCAAAGATATTGTGGGTTCAGTTACAGACCACTGCAATAAAGCGAATATCACAATAAAGTGAGTCACACAAATTCCCTGGTTTCCTAGTGCACAGAAAAGTTATGTTTACAATATACTATAGTCAATTAAGTGTGCAATAGCATTATGTCTAAAAAAATAATATTCATACTTTAATTTAAAAATACTTTATTTCTAAAAAATCCTAACCATCATCTGATCAAAGATCACTGATCACCCTAACAATAAGGACAAAGCTTGAAATATTGCAAGAATGACCAAATGTGACACAGAGACAAAAAGTGAGCAACTGTTCTTGGAAAAATGGTGCCAACAGACATACTGAACCCAAGGTTGCTACAAAACTTCAATTTGTGAAAAACAATGTATTTGCAAAGAGCAGTAAAACAAAGTACAATAAAACAGGTATTCCTATATAGTTCTCCCCAACCCGGAAGTGCTGGGGTTAGGTGCGGAATTGAGGATGCAGCTGACCCCTGACATCACACCGGTGGAACAGCCCCACTGTCCAAGCCCCAGTGTTCTCTGCCTTATGACAACCAACCCTGACCAGGATCTAACCATTCTTGACTAGTCCCTAAGAAAATCAGTCTGTTACCATGAAAGTTTTAACCTTCTCTAAGTGCCACGAGCCCAGCTTCAATTTCGTATAGTAAGTCCCCGACTTACGAACGAGTTCCCTTCCGGAGAGCGTTGGTAAGTCGGATTCGTTCATAAGTCCAACAAAGTGAGCCTTATACACCTTTGACACAAATATACAATGTAAAGCATAAAAAAACTAAACACACACACAAAAATACTGTAAATAAGCATTTTTACTTTTACAGTTACCTTAAAATGGTGGTACAGTACAGTACAACAACTGGCATATAGGGGATTGCATGGAGTGAACTGACAAGAGCAGACATGTGAGCTAGTTCCGCGATTTGTTCACATCTACAATGTTCGTAATGCGAGCTCTGTCTGTATCTGTGAAAGTTCGCAACTTGAATGTTCGTAAGTTGGGGAGTTACTGTAGTAGAAACATATGTTTTAAATTATCTGCAAATACCCCAGTGGACAGAGAAGTGAAAGACAGGCTGGCTTTACCCTTATGTTTGACAAACGTCATGAGCCACCCCCCACTCCCCACCTCACCCCCACCCACAAGAGAATTGCCAGGTCACTTACACTCAGGGCGTGGCTGCGCAGGTGCTCCTGCCGAGTGAACCTCTTGCCACAGGTCTCACAGGGGTAGGGGCGCTCACCCGTGTGCGAGCGGATGTGTCGCTTGAGGATGCCCTTCTGTTTGGCAGTGTAAGGGCAGAAAGGACACTTGTGGAGCTTGATGGGGACCACCAGTACATCACCTAGGGAACCAAATGAATTGGTTTAGCTATACTGGAAGCAGCAGCAACACCGGCCACCTTCCGGTGGATGGGATCCAGGGCTGAGGAATTCATGGATCAGACCTCTGGACCAGGATTCCGCTTTGACAGTAACTCCTAAGAATAGCTTCTAGGCATGTACAGAAGAGGTTTACTATAATGCAGACCCTAAACTGTTTGGAATTGATATTAACTCTATGTATCTGAAATCATCAAATATTCAGGAAATCACTTAAATCTTTTTCCAACTCTTTTGTTTGTTTACCTTGCTCACACCACCATTAAGGTGACAACATGATTAGCACCCACATGTATAGAAACTGTTCCTTTCAAGTTAAGTTACCTGAGTTACCCTTATTGCAGTATTCCAAGATATGTTCCTTCTATCCATGACCTTCAGGATTTTACAGACTTTGCTCATATCATATATCATATCATATCATATCATATCATATCATATCATTAGATGAGGGCACTAGTGACTCAAGCCTTCCAGGCACAGAAACCTGGGTTCAAGTCCTGGCTCTACCACTTACCAGCTATGTGACCTTGTACATCTCACTTAACTACTCTCTGCCTTAATTTGCTCATCTGTAAAATAGGGATGATCGTAGTTCCCATCTCATAGCATCATGGTAATAATGAAATGAATTAATACTGAAGGCAGAGCACCTGGCACATATTAAGTTCTCGCAAATGTCAGCCATTGTTGTCACCATCATCATGTCCTCGGTATTCCTTCACTGATTAAGCAGGGCAGGCTCTTTTGGTCTTTCTCAACACTGGAATAACCCCTTTTCTCTGGAGCCTTCTCAGGACACATAAGTGGGCTTTGTCTTTCCTGAGGTGCCGCCCAAAGTAGGACAAGCTTGAATCCCAAGTGAGAATCCAACATCGTGCTATGAAAGAGTGGAGATTATTCGCTTCGGTTTCTAGTTCCCATCCTGATAACGCCTAACATTTTGCATAATCTAGAGTGACTTCAAAACCTGTTTCCTAGAATAAAAGCAGCAGCTCATAGCTCATCACCACACACATATGTTGGATTGTTTTATTTCTCACTGATCACACTGATACTGAATGCCAGTTTCCTGGTCACTCCTCTGGCACTGCAGAATCTTCCTGTCATTTCTCTCCATCAGTCTGGCACTGTACTTTACCCTTCTTCTCAATTATTTACAAAAACATGAAGTAAAATGGGTCCAGCATTAGTCCTTGGAAAAAACCAACTGTTAGCTACTTTTCTCCATCAGAAAAGTATGAAGTATCACAACAATTTCCTTCTTCTCTCATGATCTGATTCCCCAATACAATAGTTCACTTGAATGTCAATTATGCACCAGGCACTGTGTCAAGATCTGTCTTTACCAAGATACCTATTTTCTTCCTCAAGTAGTTAAGTCTATGCAAATTGGTGCAGCCAATATAGAAAACAATATGGAGGTTCCTCAAAAAAATAAAAATACTGGGGGAGGGGGGTTGTCACTTTGAGGGGTAAAAGTATAACTACTGCACTGTGTTGTACACCTGAAACTAATAACAAAAAAAATAATAATAAATAAAAATAAGGGCTGGCCGAGTGGCTCAGTTGGTTAAGAGCTCGCTCAAGGGTTTGAGCTCTGAGCAACAGCGGTTCGAGTCCAGCCGAGCTGAGTTGCCTACTGAGCTGCCAACAGGTGGCAGGATGGCTCAGCTAAAATAAATTAATAAAAATAAATAAATAAAAATAAGAGCTGGCCCAGTGGCTCAGTGGGTTAAGAGCTCACTCGAGAGTGTGAGCTCTGAGCAACAGTGGTTCAATTCCCGGGCCAAGCTGAGCTGCTGCTGAGCTGCCAATGGGTGGCAGGATGGCTCAGAAAAAAAATAAAATAAAATAAAAATAAAAATAAATAAAAAATACAAATAGTCTACCATATGACACAGTAATTCCACTTCTGGATATTTATCTGAAGAAAATTAAAACATTAATTTGAAAAGATATATACACCCCTATGTTCTTTGCAGCATTATTTCAATAGCCAAGATAATGGAAGCAATCTGGGTGTCAACTGATAGATGAATGGATGAAGAAGATGTGGTATGTATATTACTCAGCAATAAAAAAGAATGAAATCTTGCTATTTGTGACAATACAGATGGACCTAGAGGGCATTATGCTAAGTGAAATAAGTCAGACAGAGAAAGACAAAGACCATATGGTTTCACTAATATGTGCAATCTAAAAAAATGAAACAAATAAACCAAACCAAACAAAAACACACTCATAGAAACAGAGATCAAACTGATGGTTACCAGAGGGGAGCGGGTAGGAGGATGGGTGAAAACAGGTGAAGGGGAATATAGTCAATAATATTGTGACAAATTATCATGGTTACAGATGATCACTAGACTTAGTGTGGTGATCACATTATAAGGTATATAAATGTCAAATCACTATATTATACACCTGAAACTAATATAATATTGTATACCAACTAAAAATTTTTTAAAAAGTCATATAGCATGAGTTACCTAGAATAGTCAAATTCATAGAGGCAGGAAGTACAATAGAGATTACCCGGGGCTGGGACAGAGGGAGAGGAGGGGGAATTAGTGTTTAATGGGTACAGAGTTTGTGTTTGAGGTGATGAAAGAGTTTTGGGTATAGATAATGATTATAGTGCACAACAACATGAGTGTATTTAATGCCACTAAATTTTATACTCATGAATGGTTAAAATGATAAATATTATGCTATGATGTTTTACCACATTAAAAATATAATGAAATTTTAAAAAGAAAAAAAGAAGTTAAGTCTAGCAGGAGAGAAAGACATGTAAACAAATTCATACAATATAATGTAACATGCAAAGTTCAAAGTAATGAAGAAATATAGACAAGAAGGAATGAAATCTCTCTAGGAGTTCAGAGAAGATTTCACAGGAGAGGTGATCTTCGAGCAAGGTTTTAAAGGATGAACTGGAGTTCACTGGAAGTTCAAGAAACAGTAAGATATCTCAGACAGGAACAATCCATGCTTAGGCATAGAGGTAAGTGAGAATATAGAATATAAAGTGGTGTGTGGGAGAATGAGGCTGAGGAAGGGGCAAGAACCAGGCTGTGAAGGTCATTCATTCATTTACTCAACAAATTTATACTGAACATCTACTATGTGTCAGGTTGTGTTCTGGGTTACAGCCATGAACTGAAAAGACAAAACTCCCTGCCCTTGTGACACTGATATGTTAAGGAACTTGGGCTTTATTCTGTGAACAGCTAGGATTTTAAGCAGGGGAGGTACACAGTCAGATTTGACTGTTAAAAGATCCCTCTGGGGACAATGCAGAGAAAGGATTTAAGCGAGGCAAGGTTAAAGGTAGGAAGTCCAGGTGGGCGGGGATAAGAGATGACATGAACTAAAGCCGTCTAGGTGGAGAGGAGCTACATCTGAGGAGAAAAGTAACAGTACTTACCCACATGGGAGAAGGGAAGGAAGGGAAGAGAAGATTCTAAATGACACAAATTCTGGGTTGGCTGACTTGGTAGATGACGGTGGAATAAACTGAGGCAGCAAACATAGGAGGAAAAGCAGGTATAGGAGGAATGAGGAGTTTAGATTGGATTTTACTATGTTTGAGGCAGGCCCAGAGCATCCACAGGAAAATATCTGGGTTAGATGGATAAATCTGGAGCTTAGGGAAAAAAAAGGGAAGAAAAGTCTTAAGATTCCTCAGCAGATTGGAGTGGTTGCTTTAACTGAGCCCTGCCTCTCCCCTGAGCACCCTACTTCCTTTAGCCCATAGCCCTGACACCCCTGGGTTGGAGGTGGGTAGGGTCTCTCTTGTGCTTCATTGTAAACTCCAGACCACTGTCCCTCCTTAGGGTTCCATCCTCAAACACCCTAAGATCTTTTGAAGCTCATACGATCAGATGATACCGCTGCTACCGCCTTGTTACAGCCATCCAGGACCCTGTAGGTCATCTCCTCATTCCTTGGAGATTTGATCACAACTCCTGGCATAATTCATGTGAATACCAAAAACGACCCTTCCAACACCCTGACCTCTCTGTTCCTTGACCTCCTTTCCTCCAAAGACCTTGTCCTCCATCCCCGCCTCAGCCACCCAATCCTAGACCAAGAGCTCTCAACTCTGCTACGTATTAGAATCACCTGGGAAACTTAAAAATACCATTCCAAATTTCCATTCCAAGCACCATATTTTTAAAGCACCTTTCCCATTCTAATGTAGAGTCAGGGATGAGAATCATGGCCCCATACTTAGATATTGCCACTAACTGTATTTGCTCCATAACCTACATTTCAAATACCTTACTTCCCAATCACCATATCATATCTTTTTAGCTCTCCCCCTAGGTGTCCTTTCTCTGCTGGGACCTCCAAGCTATGGACTCTGCTGTCATTTTACTGCCCTTCACCTCCTCGAGTCCTCACTCCTCTTCTTCGCCAGTTTAGTGTCTATAGTCCATCAATGAACTCACTCCTTCACATACACCTTCAATTGCCTTGGTCTTCTCTCTCCCTCTATCTGTAGTCACCTGGTTAAACCTCAACTCTGGTTAAATACAACTCTCTGCCTATTGCATACCTGAAACAAGGCAGGTTAACATCACTGCAGAAAAATACACAACTGTGTGTTGTGGTCTCACTTTAACTCCATCTAACCATCACCATCTAACCATTAATATCAGAAGAGCTCTTGGAGGTTGACTGGTTAGCTCAGTTGGTTAGAGCATGGTGCTGATAACACCAAGACTATCGGTTCAATCCCCACATGGACCACTGTGAGCTGCACCCTCCCTAAAAGAGTCAACTATGCCATTGTAGCATGAAAGCAATATTTCCCTGGTTCATACTCTCTCCCACTCCTCAATGACTCTTTTACACCTTCCCCCTGCTCTTAGCTCCACCCTCCTACCCCTTCTCACTTTCAGCCTCTGTTCTGGCTTATTTATTTATTTATTTATTTATTTATTAAGATTTTATTGGAGAATTGGGGAAGGCGAACAGTGTTGGGGAATTGGGGAAGGGGAACAGCCAAGTTGTTATCCTTCAATCTTAGTTGTGGAGGCGCAGCTAGTTCAGCTCCAAGTCCAGTCACCATCCGGCTGCCCACGGGGCAGCTCATGGCCACTCAGCTCAAGGTGCTGTGTTCAATCTTAGTTGCGGTGGGCGTAGCCCACCATCCCATGCAGGAGTCGAACCGGAAACCTTGTTGTTAGGAGCACGTGCTCTCACCAGCTGAGCCTGGTAACCACCTGTTGGCAGCTCAGTGGCAGCTCAGCTGGGGCGCAGCTCACTGGCCCATGTGGGAATCAAACCGGTGACCCTGTTGCTCACAGCTTGCGCTCTTAACCACCTGAGCCACTCAGCCGGCCCTGTGCTTGCTTAATTGAGGAGGAGGAGCAACAGAAGAAAACCTCTCCATGCTCCCAGCCACCTCCCATATGAACACATTACTGCTTTCATTCCTATTACTATGAATGAATTATCCTTCCTCCCATCCAAAGCCAGACCATCCCCTCCACTTGTACACAGGATCCCCTCCCTCTATCAGTTGTCCCTCCTTTTTACGTCATCAGTTATCCTCCTCTCTCCTGTATCATTCCCATCAGTAAATAAACATGCTTTTAGATCCTCCACCTTAATAAAAGCCCTGACCTCATAAACCCCTGCAGCTACCGATACATTTCTTTGTTCCCTTCACAGTAAAACTCCCTGAAAGAAGCATCTCCACTCACTATCTTCACATCTATTTCTGCACTTCTCTTTTGAGCCTACTCTATATAGTCTTTTGCCCCACCACCTCAATCATACTGCTCTTGTCAAGCTCACCAATGACCTCTCTATTGCTACACCCAATGATTCAGTTCTCAATCTGCCGAGATGCAGTATAGGACATAGCTGAGTTTTCCTTTTTCTTGAAACTCTTTCTCTTCTTGGCATCTTTTTCTTGAAACTCTTTCTCTTCTTGGCCTCCATCACTCTTTCCTGATTCTCCTCCTACCTCACTGCCTGGCCCTTCTCTGTCTCCTTTACTGGTTTCTCCCAATTTACCTGACCTCTAAATGTTGGAGTTCCCCAGGGTTCAGTCCTTAGATATCTCACCTTTTCCTTCTAGATCTGTAAGTTCATGGGATAGATAGGTTTTAGATTCCAAGGGCCCATTAATGACTCCCAAATTTATATCTCAGCTCTGACTTCTCCCTGGAACTCCACACTTACAGATGCAATTGTTTACTGAACATCTCCACTTATCCAATAGGCATCACAAACATAACATGTTCAAATCAATAGCTCAAGCTAAAAACCTTAGGGTCATCCTTCACTCCTCTTTTTCTCATACCACTCATGCAAGCCATTAGCAAATCTGGTTGGCCCTACCTTTGAGAGACAATATAGTCCTAATCCAACCATAGCTCACCTCTCTACTGCTACCACACTGATTCAAGGAGCATATATCTCACCTGGGTTATTGCAGTAACCTCCTAAGCGATCCTCCTGCCTCCACCCTTGCTCCCCTAGAGTCTATGCTCCCTGTAGTCTATAGGAGGAAAGCATGGGTGGAAGCAAGAGGACCACTTAGCAGGTTACTGCACACGGTACCCAAAGGGATCCTTTTAATATTGGGTTGTCGGAAAAGTCATGATGCATATTTGCAACAAAAAACAGAAAAAATACGTCATGACTTTTCCGACAACCCAATATATAGCATTTGAAGCCACTCTTGGCGGAGGCCCCCTAGTGGCTTCCCTTCTCAGAGTAATATCCAATGGCCTTCAAGGCCCTACCTGGTCTCCCCTCACCCAAACTCTCTGACTTCATCCCCCAACACTCTCTGCCTTGCTCACTCTACTCCAGCCACACCAGCATCATTCCTGTTCCATTGGTTCACTTACCAAATGTGATCCTGTACCTGGGCCTTCGTACCCTGCTCTTCCCTCTGCCTGGAATGTTCTCCCTGATATCTGGACAGTTTGTTCTCTTGCTGCCTTGAGGTTTCTTCTCAAAGGCAACCTGTTAGAAAGGGCTTCTTTGTCAACAGTAAATGAAATAGCATATCCTTCATTTTCTATCAGCCTTTCTCCTGCTTTAGTTCTTAGTATGTATTTACTTGTTTAGTGTCTGTCTCCCTACACTAGAATGTCAGCTCCATGAGGACAAGGACAGTCTTTTGTTCACTATGATTAACAGTGCCTGGTATGTAGTAAGTGCTCAATAAACATCTACTGAATGAATGAATGAACAAGAACAGTAAGTTCCGTCATTGGCTTGCTTCTTCAACAACTTATTCCTCTGCCAAACTCACGGGGCATGATGAAGGTCTACCGAATGTGAAGGTGATCGCAGTCTGTGAAATGCTATTATACACAAGGAAATGAGATTTCAACAAGTTCCCACAGTGTGGTCACTGAAAACTGCCACTACCTTCTAAATGCGGTTAAGCCAGTGTCTCTGAGGACCCGCAAGCATTTTCAAGTTTTTCAAGCCTAATTTTAATCAGACATATACAGAGTATTTGCTTTAAAAAAAAAAAAAAGAAAGAATTAAAATATCTAAAGACAGCCATTGTAATGAATAAAAGCAGCTGATCTCCCTTATTTAAAATACTTTCATTGTTCAGTATTGAAGGGTGTATAAGAATTTAGATTCATTAATTTCTTGGCTTGAGGTTCTGGAAGCTATAGGGTATTTTCATCAGAAAGGTGACCACCAAGTCTCTGTCTCCTACAAGACACTTTTTAACACAATTATCTTACCTGTTAAAAAGAGTTAACTCATCTCTCAGAATTATTCTGGGACACAACCAAGTTCCTTAAAACACAAAAGCCTACCAAAGGATATAAGAAATTTACTCACATGAAGCTAAATGCCAACTCTAAAATATTCTCAAGTAGATCACACCATTGACCATGACATCGCACCATTGACCATGACATGTTCATTGAGCGTCTATTATGTACCAGGCACCATGGTTGACACAAAGAATAGATTTCCTACCTGTCTAGAACATGTTACCATACGTGAGAAAAAATTCTGAAAAACCTTCTCATTTGGTCCTCAACCCTGTAAGACAGGCAAGGCAGGGATGATTATCTCCTGAACTCAACAGGTTCAATGAGATTTAATGATTTAACCAAAGTCCCATTGCTGGTTAGTGGAAGACAGTAGGTTCTTTCCATATCTTCAAACTGCCCTCAACATGGTTATACTCTAGTTGTAGAGGTAAAATACTACCATACACTAAGAGTCAATGCCCTGATCAATTAATAATACCTATTGGTTGTGGTGCTGGTGGTGATAGTGATGATGGTGGTAATGATGATGATGGGAGACTCCACGGCACAGATGTGGGTGCTAAATGACCGGCAGAGAGGATGAATGCTAATGGAGCTCACCTGAGTCCTCTCCATACCAGTCAGTCTGGACATCCATCATGGAACTCATAGCTCCTCCTGCACCATCTGGTCTTCCCTCCAAACTCCGAGAAAAGTGATGGTCCGCATCATCCTTGCTCTGGACAGCACTGTTGCGCAAGAGGGCCTCCAGGAATTGCTTCACGTGGTAGTTACTGTAAGCCAGGTCCACTGCCTGGCCACTGGGCAAACCCTCCTCCATGTGGGCCAGGCTCAGTGGGGCAGCATACTGCTGCAGCTGCTCGCCAACCTCTACCTCAACTTCGTCAGCATCCAACTCCACCTTGGGCTCTATGTGTTTGGGCAGAGTAGAGAGGTCACTGTCAGCTAAGCCACTGCCCTGGCTGTCTTTCACCACCAGTTCCAAGGGGTGGCAGCCTCTGCAGTCACTGCAAGAGGACTCTCTTGGACAGTCCACGCTCTCTTCTCCCTTGGCTGCAGAGAACAAGCTCTTGGTATCACAGGAGGTCCCTTCCCTGCCTGAACTGGGGCTTCCACTGTCAACCTGATGAGCTGCTGCTGCAGCTGCCGCTGCTGCCGCCGCAGCCGCTGCCGCCATTGCTGCCGCCACAGCCGCCTCCTTCTCCATCTTTCGGCAGATATCAAGGGATGACCTGATGTATGTCTTGCAGAAGTTCACCACATCATTCATCTGTAGGTAGCTGGCAGCCGACATAACTTCAATCACGTTCTCTCCACACAAATCCAGTTTGCCAGAATAGAGGAAATCTAAGATGGTAGAGAAGGCGTCAGGGGTGACAATGTCTAAGGAGGCGGTGCTGTGCCGCCCGCTGTCCTGGATATAATGAATGAGCAGGGCTCGGAAGTAGCCGCTGTTGGCAAACAAAATGTTCCTGTGGGCCTTGAAGATCCGCCCTTCCACAATGATGCTGCAGTCACAGAAAAAGTCCCTCTTTCGCTGTTCATTCAACTCCCCCAAGAGCTTGGCATAATAGGATTGCACCTCCATTTCTCCACCAGCTGCTGCTGCTCTGGAGTAGCCTGTATCTCTGCCAAGATTTTTTTTAAGTTAATTCACAAATCCCAATCTTACAAATATGATGTTCGTTTTTAATTTTTTTTAATTCTTCTAAAAACACTATTTCAATAGTGTCTTTATGATATGAGCTGTTTTGAATCTAACAAATAATCAGAGGTCGTCCAACTGGGTTAATTTATAAACAAACCAAACAAAATTAGAGCTAACTGCATATGAGAACAGTATGTAGTGTTTTACATCGAGTCTTTCAGTGAAGTTTTATAAAAACCCTAGGATAGGGCCGGCCGAGTGGCGCGATGGTTAAGAACTGGCTTGGGATGCCAGAGGGCCCCGGTTCGGATCCCACATATGAGGGCCAGTGACACTGCCCTCTACAGCTAAGATGCTGAACAACAGCTCAACCTGGAGCTGGGCTACCGTGAGTCGCCCGTTGGCATAGGCTGCAGCCCTTGTGGCAGTGGGTTGCCATGAGTTACCGTATGTAGCCAGCAGCCAGTGTGAGTGGCCAGCAGCCGCAATGAGCGGCCGTCCAGAAGCCGGCGACTGATCTGCCTCACTTGGGAAGAGCGCAATGGTGGTGCCAACTTGGGTCAGTGAAGCAACGTCCTCCACAACTAGACTGAAGAACAAAAGGACAGCAACTTGTCTGTTCCCCTTCCCCCAATTCCCCAGCGCTGTTCCCATCCCCCCAATTCCCCAATAAAAAAACAAAACAAAAAATCCCTAGGATAAAAGACCAATATTGTCCCCATTTGAGACTCAGAGAGGTTATAGATGACCCAGTTACATATAACAGAGACAGGACTCAAAACCAGGTCTGTTAACCTCCAGCATTCACGCTATTGTGCACTACATTCTACTTTCTTCAAGACTCAAAATATAGATAATACTAAGAATTATAGCTCAGTGTACAGTGTCCTGATATAGAGCCCAGAGACTGGCAAGTACAGTCTCAGCTCACACCTATTATCATCACTTTGTGGAAACTGGTGGATTCATGGGTTAGCCAGCACGTGTTCACCACTCTTTTGGTTTTACTGCCCTTTTTGGCTTTGGTAGAAGCACCCTCCCCCCATTCTTGACCAATGCGGTTTGCATCTAGTTGCATCCCCAGGCTCCACTCTCTCACCACAGTGATTGACTCAGAGATGGCCATGTGGCTTGGTCAGAGCCAATGAAAAGCAGTGAAATGTTTACGGGGGGGCGGGGGGGTCCAAAAAAGAGCACTCTCTGCTCTGTGGGCAGGTGAGATGTGAGGGATGCTGTCACCACACCACCGGGGGGAACCAGCCCTAACAAAGATGACAGAGAGCCCATCACAGACAGGAGCAACAGATGGAGCCTGGGGACCAGGGGACACCATCTGAGTCCCAACTCCTATTGTGCCAGAAGCCAATTAAGTCCCTTTTTGCTTTAGCTGGTCTGACTTGGGTTTTCTATCTCTTGCAACTGATAGACTCCTAATTGATGGACTCCATTACCCTTGGTTCACTCCTCTGTACTTCCATGTCCTGGCCCTTGTCTGTCTGTGCACTACAAGTCCTTTAAAGGCATGAGCCATGTCTTATTTCATTTGATATCCCCCATAGCACCTGATAAGAGTGCTTTGGAGAAGGTAGTTTTGTTAAATACAAAGGAATACTCTTTTCTTAACTGCTAAGTAGCAGGTATAAATCAAGTTAAAAATCCTTCTGCTAGGGTCGGCCGAGTGGCGTGTTGGTTAAGAGCTGGCTTGGGACGCTAGCTCTGAGCAGCAGGGCCCCAGTTCAGATACCACATGAGGGCCAGTGACACTGCCCTCTACAGCTAAGATGGTGAACAACAGCTCAACCTGGAGCTGGGCTGCCATGAGTCGCCGGCGACGGCGTCTGGCAGCCGGTGTGAGATGCTAAGAGCCACCGTGAGCGGCCGTCCAGAGGCCGGTGACCGATCTGCCTTACCCAGGAAGAGCGCAATGATAATA